ATGTTAGGTTGGGTTTCCTCGTTTCATTATGAATCTAACAATACAACATGAGTGACGGTGACGATACCTGAAATACAGGCGGTGACAGGTGATGCGCGCGCTCCGGCCATTGGTCAACGACCTGACCTTGGAGGGGATTTGGCGATGGTATGACTCATCTGGTATCATTCCATCCACAACGAAACTAAGAAAGTTCTACAAACATATTTATGATAACCCAACCTAACATAACCACCGCAGCACGCTGTATAAGGTTGGCCTCCGGACAATATCAAAGTAGGATTAATACCGTACTTTTACTCTTGGCACAATGGGTTCGGGACATTCCACTAATGTACTGTTGAAAATTGTATGAAATAATTTATTCATATTTAAAAGTATCTTTACTAACTAAACTAAATCTGTGTACAACTTGTAAACAAATAAAATATAAACAATAACAATAATCACATAATAATTACATCTATCTATCCATCTATCATCTACTAAATCTATCTATACTATTATAAAGAAGAGAGGTGGTGTTTGTGTGTTTGTATGAGATAAACTATACGCTACTGAACCGATTGGACTCAAATTGGACAAAAATCAAGCTACCGCTCCGAGGATTAGAACTACCCCCCACCTTCGATATTGAACTAGTACTGCGGCGTATTGCATCTGTAATACGAAACTTGGGTTGGTGAAATTATTACAATGGAAAAAAGCGAGAAATCCTGGACAATTTGATATAGGCTAAAAATAAAACTGAATTAAAATATGCTACATTTCTTGAGCAATCATTGAAATAACCGATTTGCAAACAATGGAAACATAGAAAAAGTCATAGAACACAACCAAGTAGAAGAAAAGAAATAATGTATTTTTTTTAATTTATAATCGTTATTATAGACAATCTAATGCGGCTATAAGAGAGAAAAATTTGTAGAAACACTAAAAAACAAGATCAGCTTTTTGAGAAAAGATAAGATATTTACAAAAGATTTTGATTATATCTAACTGTTGTGTAGATCGTGAGTATTTCCATAATCTTCTGGTTGATAATTAGGTTGCCATGGGAAATGTGTTGGTTCTTGTGGCGCATCAATCATTACGTTTGAGTTATTTGTAAGTCGTAACAAACGGTTTCCATTTGGGTTTGTGGTTCTGCAACCCCATATCTGATGTTTACAATTTAGGTCCCCCATAACAACAGTCGAACAATTTTCTGCAAACAGCACCTGCAAGTCATTATTGTGTAGCCGTTTGTTCGGGGGTTTGTAGACAGAAATTAAGCGAAAGTCTGCACCATGACTTAAATTACTTTTACACCAACAGCTTCTACCGAAGATAAACGAGGTAAAAATATATTATGATGGTCCAAAGTTCTTCGCACAAAGATTGCAACGCCACCTGAAGCTATTGGATTAGGCCTATCTTCCCTGTATATAGAATACCCATTAATTTTGAAATTTTCCACATTGGTCAGGTGTGTCTCAGTAATGCACGCAATATCGATGCTATGTCTAACCATAAACGCGATAAAAGTAGCACGTTTATCTCTAAGCCCATTGGCATTCCAGTTTAGGAGGGTTAAATTGTTAATTTGAAAATAATTGACCTGATCCATTTGAGAGAATAGAGCTTATCACATTACTTATTATCTTTTTGAGAGTAGGAATGAACGATTTCACCACATCTAGGATTATTTGTTCAAAGTTTTGAAACACAGACGTATCAGGAGCATCATCAGATTGTTCTTGTGAGAGTGAATTATTAATATTGCGGCGGCTCGTAGCAGCAACTTTAGCAAATGAAACTCGTGATGTGGAAGGTTCCTGAGGCGAAAAGTTTGTATGAATCTCAGGAAAATGAGTAGCAGAATTCAAATCAGGGGGAGAAGGAGTATTTTCTTTTTTCTCAGTAGCATTTTGATGGCGATTGCGAGGACTACCCCGATTGTGATCCTTGTTGGTTATTTGCTGGTATACTTGACATGCTCTGTAGTTAGCTGTGTGGCTTTCGCCACAATTAACACATTGAGGAGCTGCAGTTTTTTGTTTAGGACATTCAGAGTAGTGATGTTGACCAGTGCACCGCACGCACCTTGGGTCCAACTTACAAAAGTTCTTCGTGTGCCCATCGCGTTGACATCGAGTGCATTGGGGAATTTGCCTAGATTTTCTTTTCATTTCGACACTTACAACTGCAAAACAGATTGTGGTTAAATTAAAGATAGCTTTGCCGTCGTCGTTGTTTTCTAAGTCTACTGCACAAAGAGGGAGTGGAAGTTTGTTTTTGTTGAGTAACCTAGTGACTCTAATGACAGGATAGTTTTGATCTGTTAGCTCAGTTTTAATTTCATTCTCAGATAATGATGTAGGGACGTTCCTGACAATCACTTCTAGTTTTTTGTCATGTAGGGGTTGAAAAGTATGATATTTAATGTTAGAAGAATCATAAAAGGCTGTCAAATTTCTAAAGTCATCTATATTAGACAAGTTCACTTTAAGGGACTGCCCTCGAACTTGAATCGAAAAAGTTGCCTTTACCATATTTCGGACATCTTTTATTATTTCTTGGTGGTCGTTTACGTTGTGCAAAAATATAGGAGGGATTTTTAACTTTGGTTCATTTACTTGGTTTTCCAAAGTAGAATCATCCATCTCGTGTGATTGATCCACGCCATTGCCATTACCATTAGAACTATAAGAATGTTCAGATAGAATTTGATATATTTATTGCCTTTACATAGTTCACTTGAATCTAAAACATAGCGTGTCGGTTGAGATTCAGAGGAAGAAAAGGTAAGTTTACGTTTTGGAAAGACAAAATCATCATCAGGATCACTTACATTTTCATCAAAAGGCATAGCAAGGAACTCGTTTGTTTGTTGTACATTATACTTAGCTTTGTTTACATTAGTTGTTGACATTCTTGTAACAGGAGGAGCTTGTAGATTAGACCTATGTTTGAACGAAGTTTTATTGTTTAATTTAACTATTTCCGCGATTCTATGAAACAAGTACAAAGAACAAACAAAGAATTAAACTTGTCACAACTTTAAAAGAGAGCCCGAGCTCAAAAATTCGTAAAAAAGATAATTATTCACAGAGCAAAAATCAACACAGTCACTATAAATAAATAAGAACCAGCTGTATCTCCCTACAAAGTTTAAAAATATAAACAAGCAGAACTAACTGTCAAATGAGTTTTGATTTCACAATTCCACACTACAGCTGGTTCAAACATATTAAATACTGCACGAATATTAGAACAGAGAGGGTAAGGATTATAAATTTAAAATAATGATGTCACTAGCCCGAATGTAAACATTATTTAACATTACTTAAATGGAGCTGTCAAACCATAATTATGTTAATGTAGTTTCATCAGTTACTCCATTTGTTTATGTTTATGATCTATTATACTGAGTCTGTTCTTATATTTGTGATATGCTGTAATAATATTTTACAGGGAATAATTCATTGTAAAAGAAATCATTCATGGATATAGGAAATAATTAAGATTCTATAATCATTGCCAAGCCATTATACTGAGTTTCATGAGGTTTATTTTTTTATTTATTTTTGTGTAAACAGCAATATAATCCCTCTGCCGTAGCAAATTTATAGACTTAGTGAATTTCCATTTACCTGATTATAATTTCATTAAAATTGTTAAATAAATTACCCTATTCTTCATATTTCTATTTTCCTATTTGTTTATATTTTTCGGTTTGTAACTGTTGTGATAGTTTTTTTGTTTGCAGTGCAAACCATTTAACACGTTCTTTTATTGTACCTTAACGTCTATCATTGGTTTTGTATCGTAGGTAGCCTAAATAAGTACTCACAGTATGAGTACTGTACTTATTTTTTACTTATACTTTTCCCCCTCAATGAATTCGTGTATTTCACGAAGGTGTCGAGACAAAACCCACCGATTAACAAAACTCTTATCACAAAACTGGCATACATTCATTGTTGACAAGACAAGCCAATAAACGATGAAGTACAAGTACACCACGCGACAGACAGCATTGAATTTTACGTTTAAGTTCGGCACTGCTCGGTAAGATTCGGAAGCGTTCGGCACAGCGCAGTAGTGGGGGTGGGGGAAGCTGAATTTTTATTTCAGCTGCAGTATTTTTAATACGGTCAAAATCGGAGTATTCTATTGGCTGAGGGAACACCATTACTGCAACGATACGGCATATTGCCATCGGCCTCGGTGGTCTAATGGATAAAGTGCTGGGCTGAGAAGCCAAAGGTACCAGGTTCGATACCTAACGGTGGCATTAACTTTTTATCTAAGATCTTTGCATTATCAGTAAGTTTGGTTTGTTTGGTTAGGTTATGACAGTTTAATTTTATAATCAACAAAATTTTAAATTGAATTTAAAGCATTTATAGTTTTATTTTATGAACAGAACTATTTTTTTTTTTTAAGTAAACCTTCATTCAATTTTTTCATTATCAGCAAGTTTGGTTAGTTAGGTTAGGTTATAACATTTTTATTTTATAATTAAAAAATTAATTTAAAATTTTTTAATTTTTATATAATTTTTTTTTCTAATTTTTAAACTCTCATTTTGTCCGTATTAAAAAACTGCAGCTGAAATAAAAATCGTGCGGCCGGGACCTAGCTGACCGATTTGAGTTGTCGGTACCAACTTGATATTGGATCTAAGTGAAATGGTACCTAGGTGAAAGGTTGCCTAAAAGAAGGCCTCCCCAATATTATTTTCAAAGCTCGTATAGATTATGATCTGTAGAGTAAGTGAGCTGTCCCCTACGAGTCCTATCTTAAACAACAGACAACTGACCATCCTAATGGTCTATTCTCTGTGCTTAAACCATAGACTAACCAAACACAAGGGAGTATGTTTTATCTATGCTTAAACCCTGCCTCTAGGCATCATCGTCGTCTGCCTCCACTCCACATGTGGTCTGTGTCTGTGGGTAGCAGAATATAAATATAGGCTTAGGCTATCTTGTCCGTTTATGCTTGATGGTTGTAGGAAGGATGAAAATTGTCTACAGCTGCCGCTGTGTTGTGTTGTGTTGTTTGTTTGTTGACAAGACAATGCTGCTGCTGGGTTGGATTTTTGATTTAGAATCCGAATCCCTGTAAAAGTGAGTTTTGTAATTGTAACATTTAAGCAATGGATAAACCTGAAAACAACACTAGAAATGCGTCTCAAAGCGTGTTGAAATTGATTCAACCTGAACTTCTATCAGTAGAAGAACTTGAAAATATCCTAAAAGAGGTTCGTGCCGATATACTTTCATAGATATCATGTTTGTTATTTGTCTATTTTTTATATTTCGAATCTTCTTACTAAAAGATAAAATTAATTTAAAACTCCAAAAAAGTGGTACAGTTTCTTAACTGGGCAACGCTAATATTGATTGTAACTATCGATTAATTACTAAACCTTCATGAGATTTTTTCACCATCAGCAAGTTTGGTTGGTTAGGTTAGGTTATGATAGTTTAACTTTATAATAGACTAGCTGTGTGCCCGTTCTACGCACGGGGATCTCATCATAGTCAGTTAAAACCTTCTTATATAAAAAAACAGCAGTTGGTTTGCATACTTTCAGATATGCTGACAAAACTATTCCTTCGCAAATACGGTATCTGACAGTTTCAAGCCAAAACTAATGCTTTGCAATTAAATGTCACCAGGATCTTGTTGGTCCATATGTTAAATGCAATGATTAAACTAAAAAAACGGTATCGGCATTCTTGACACATACTTTCTCCCATAAGTTTGTCAACAACCTTTATCATGTGTAAGTGGTGAGAGTAAATATACGGTACGGAAATGGGATTTGTACAATTTTGTTCAGAATTTAAAGGACTATAACATAATGGTTAAAGGTATTTAAGGTACTACCTCAAACTCATAATTTAACACTTTATTCGGGTTGACATTTTCATTATCAAGGTGATCTTGTCCTTTCCGTGAAACACTGAGAAATAAGGACATTAATGCGCTACCAACAGACATACACACAAAAATACAGAACTTAATTAGGGAATTTGCTACGCTTTAAGCATAAAAAAGTACATATAAAATTAGTATTTGAAATCTTTGTTAATGTCATAAAATTTTATCATAACAATTTATATTTGCTTGGACGGGAGATGACCTGAATTTCTGTCGAAATGCTAAGTATCTGAATCGGTTTGCTATATGAAATGAAGTACAGTAGGCCTACTATAGACGATTTAGATTGGTGATTTATAGTAAAAATTACCAAAATAGGCCACGAACTATTGATACATAAATAACGTTCAAAGCGTTTGAACAATTCATGATGGTTTGCTGAATAAATGTTTTACTAAAATGCGTTATCGTTTTCTTAGAATAAACTAACATTTTGGAATCCAGACAGAAAAAGCAAAAATTATACAGTTAAGACATCAATAAATTGAATAGGCCTACTCCTGTAATAAATAAGGTGCAACACCACTAACTAATTTTTAAATTACTGTGATGTGTTGGTACCTACGTAAAAATGATTCTTGCTGCTACCAATGGTTAAAAGGAAAAGAACCAGTACCGTACCAAAAACAACGTTTACAGTTAAGAACTGTAGTAGGCCTACATCCGACCAATAATATGCGTTAATCAAGATTATTGATGTCTTGGTTTTGGATTTTCTCGTAAAAAGTTATTGGCAATCAAAGTTATTTCCCATTAATTGCTTTATTTGTACACAACTCTTAATGTAAACTTATCGGTGTCAGTTTGAAAAAAACAACCTTATACAACATAACTTTCTGTTATTTAATATATTACGTATTCTCTAAACAATGATTGCTGGTATATCTATCAACATTATAAGGAAATGTGACAAAAATCACACAACGTTGGGTTTTTGGACGTTTGTAATTTTATTTCTTTAGTACCTAGGTAAGCCGTGTATTCTATGGAAATTACCGGTATCAAGGATCGTTGTCGAAAAGGTTGTTATAAATAATTGGGTAAGCGTACGTACCCAAGAGATGGGCTATGGGCCTATTGGCTGTATGGTCCAGCGATTGCATCACACGGTGAGTAGGAACTATTGACTATATATAGTCAATGGTAGGAACAGAAAGTGACACATTGGAAAATCGAGCTTAGCATCATCCGTAAACCTCTGTTACAATACCCCTCTGCAGTTGTGATTTTTTACTTCACACTTTACACAACCGCCATTGAAGAGCCGCCAATGAGTGGAACCTTGTTTCTAAGCTATTGATTGGTGACGATCATTAGTAAATTTAAGTTTCCCAGCCGTATACAACACTGATTCAATGTCTTCTTTCTGGTTATCAAAACTCCAGAACAATTTTATACACAAAGAATCTCTGGTTCCTGACCTGGATGATGCCTAGTTATTTAATTTACGATTACACTATATTATTCCACTTGCGATTAATTAAATCCTTTATGTAAGAAAAACGTTTTTAATCTCACTTGGATGGGATTTGCCTTCAAAACGTGATCGGAAATGGTTGCGGTGTTTGTAAACAACATTTGTAAACATTTCAGTGACAGCTAGAAAAAATAATCTTGATCCGAACAGCCGTTCGTTATTTCATAGATGATTATGTGATAAAAATTGGACGAAAACTTGACAAAAATCGCACAAAACTGCATTTTTGAACGTCCGTAATTTTAATTACAAAGTAGTGAGGCCATATTTTAATGGCTAAAGACACTCTCGCCAATCCAGCGAATACATTAAAATGACTTGGGTCTTGATAGGTACTCTCGTTTTCCTGGAGAAGATTGCGTAAAATGCCATCTTGAGTGTTACAGAAAGATTGAAAGACAGACAGACAGACAGACAGACAGAAATTTAGATGAGACTTGTTTCGGCTTCTTTAATGTATAAAACGTAAAAATAACCTAAAAATTTATGATTCTGAGCAATATACAGACAAAACTCTAATTTTATTTATATAGATTTATTTTAAAATATCGATTATTATAAATATTTTCAATTCGATAGTTTCAATCAATATTAGCGTAGCCCAGTTAAGAAACTGTATCCCAAAAAAGTGTGCACTACAAGAAGTGGTGCTTTAGTAAGAAGGTTCATAACTTCTGATGAACGTGAATTACCGGTAGATCTAAACTTGTGCCTATCTCTCAGTTTAAGCGTGTGTAAATTAAAGGTATAGGTCAAGGTAACTTATGTGAATCACAATTAATTAATATGATACTAGCTGTAACCCGCGGGCTTTGCCCCGTTTAACTTCTTAATTTTCAAGATTATCTCGTTCACATGGCTCAATCACGTCCTGGTTGAAGTTTGTTCGCTACGCTCACTCACCTTTTGATTGCAAATTAGCTGTTGTCATAAATGTAAAAGAAATAATAGTGCTGCACCCTGTTAGCAATTTTTGTAACTTTAATGCTATTGAACATCACAGAACAAAACCAACTTGTTTAATTGAAACAGCTGTTAAGATTCAATAATTTCATTTCTCATAAGGTTAACATGGGAAACTCCAGCCACTGGGGCGGAGCCCGAAAGGATTTTTGAAATAAGAATATGCATATATGTTAATCGGGAATGTGAGCTATCATCATGCCAAATTTCAGCCCAATCCGACCAGTATTTTTCGCGTTCACTTGTCACAAACATACATCCATCCATACATCCATACATCCAAACTTTCTCATTTATAATATTAGTAGGATTAACTTTTTTGTTTGTAACTTCTATTAGTATTAGTACTACTAGAAGGCTATTAATAAGGCCTTTAGAAGGCCTATTAGTACTTCTTGGCAATCAAACATGTGTTACCCTAAATGCATTCTATTTTGTAGTGTTATAGGCCTTTGGGAACCTTGGATGATGTGTGTCCTGCAATAAGTTATATCTGCTTAGTTAAGTACCGATGGCTTTTCAGAATATGTTTTAACACCGAAACAGTCGAGCTGGAAAAATTAGGTTGGGTCAATAATTAAATTCTCCTTTCATTTTATAGGGATTCCACCATCCACTTAAAAAACTCTACAAGCAATTTTTCATTATTTTTGTTTATTTCTTTTTTTAAATTTAAAATCCTGTAACCTACTTACTTAAATGTATTTCCCTAGCTCTTCCTATTTCCCTTAGCTACTTTTCTAAACGTCTCAATTGTTTCCTTGTCTCTCATCAAGTTTTAGACCTTTCCTTTCCAAGACTTCTTCCTTTTATCTCCTATTTGCCTCCTGAAGTGCACAATTCATCAACATGTAACTCATTTTCTCTATTTTTTGCACAGCTGCATACTTCCTCTTCCACCAAGATACATATTCACAAATTCACCTTGAAATTTTCCATGTCCTGTGACAAAGTGTGTTGAATAATAGCTCAATCTCCCAATCACACCGAGTCCAGTCTCCCCCTGATGTTTGGCATTTATATCCGAACGTTTCCCTATCTTTCTTAATCAATAAAAGGTTACAGTACCTGCAGACTGCCTTGTGGGTTTTGTTAATCCAGTAGGATTACGTACAATTCGGCAAATATATTGCCATCATCAGATCCAGAACTTGAAGGTTAAAATCTTGATTTTTCGACACACATGGTCACGTCAAAGTTTAAAATAGAACACATACACAAAACGAACATTAAATACATGTAGGCCTACTATTAAAAAACCGAACAGGATATAATATGATGCAAGCATCTCTCTTGCCGAGTCTCGACTGGTGGTCGTCAGGTCCTGTGAACTGGACTCTGACCCCAAGGCATCCTGTATCATAAGTGTCGGTCTCTGTCCAGTTGTATTAAAGTTTCAAATAATAAATTTGATTGAAGTGTACTTTTATCATTGACTAGGTCCTGAGGGCGGGTTTTTGTGGCCTTATAAATTTCGTAATTTTCCAGAGTTGTCATAGTTGTTCCTTTACAGCAGATATGTAACGCTTTTAAATTGTTACCTAAATCAGTGTAATTATGATTTTTGTTCACAAGATGTTCTGCGAAATTTGACTTTTCTGACTTAGTAGCTCTGGGAAGATGTTCTTTAAACCTTTTTCCAAAAGATCGCCCTGTTGACCTATGTAAATTTTATCGCAGTCATTACATGAAACTTGATAAATTCCGGTTTTCTCTTGTAATTCCTTATCATTTTTACTAGTGTTTAACATTTTCCCCAATTTATTGCTTGTCCTAAATGCTAATACTTTACCATGTTTTTTTTTCATGTTTGAGAGACATAGGAAATGAGCTGCCGTATTCGACTGGGACATAATCAGAATTTTTCCTGTTAG